GAATTTTTCTTCAGTATTACCAAGGAACGTAGTCCTGTGGCCCGGCCGCCGCGCGCGACTCGGGGCCGCCCCGGCACGGTCTTGCGGGCCCCGCGCGGCGGGCGGCCGCGGCGGCCCCGTGGCGCGCCCCGCAGCGGCGCCGGGCCCCTCTAAAGGGGCCCCGCCAAGCTCCGCGCCTCATCTTTACCTCCAAGCGAGGCTGTCCATCCGTGTCTTACTACCGTTCGATGCTAGCACAGGGCCACGCCGACGCGGCCGGCGGCGCCCCACCGGCCGCCTCACAGCAGTCACACTCCTGCCAGACCTGGAGGCGTATCGTGTCTCAAGACCGCATCTGTCCGTGGCTTCCCGTTGATCGACAAGTGTAATATATCAAAGCCTCAGTCCCTACTCCCCCGGGGGGGCTGAGACAGCTTCGGCGCCAAGCAGATTATGCCTTATGGCCCTAGGGCGCCGGAGCGCCGCTCCAGGGGGAGTTTTGACGCGGCCCTCATGGCTACGGACTGGTTCGGCCGGCCGAGACACTCGTTGGCCGTCGGCGAGAGCGTCGTAGCAGTTGCTCTGAAGCCAGCAGCCGGTCGAGGGCCGATACCCAAGTTCTAATAAATAACGTGGCCTTGATTGCAGCCGCTCAGTAGACGGACTAAACCGCGGCGCGGCCGGGCCGCCACGGCCCACCCCGATGGGTCGTATGCCCGCGGTATCGACTCATGCTGGCAGCGGTCATGGGAGCAGTCACGCTGTCCGCGCCTCGGCGCCTCGCGGCCGGTGCTCCCGCGAATTGCGGTCGCCCCGGGGCGCTCAGCCTCCTTTTGCGAATAGATTCAGCACCCGTTAAGAACCAATTCATGTTTTATCGACAGTACGACCACTTTGTCACAATTTTAGCCTGGCGCCGATCGGCCGAGCCCGGGGCACACGCGCAAATGTTGTCAACTTTTGGAAGATGTTGGTGGTGCCCCGGACATCCAGGTTTTGGTGGCCGCTCCGGGCCACCCGGCGCCGGGCCCAGCCTGCCGCTGAGCTGCCCCGAGCGTCCCTCCCTCCGCATACGATCGTGGTGGTCTGTTACATGTACATGTGTCTTTAGCATACATAGTGTCTTTCACCATCAGGCATGTGCTGCTTCTAGCAGTCCCACAGGTGTCTTTTACAGTACATGGTGTCCTTTACAGTACCATCCGTCGCTCTATACCACCCTACGATGACCTGTGCTTTGACAATACCAGCTCCCTGTCTGTTACGGTCACGCATGTGGTCTTACATACATGGTGTTTTAACATACATGTCGTCTTCACATTACATTGTCTTGTACAGTGAGCCATCGGCCTTCTTTACATTCCTGCGCGCCTCCTAGTTATCTGCGCGCCACCCGGCCCCGGCCTCCAGGGAATATCGCTGCTGGCGCCTGCGGTGCGCCACAAGCGCCGCCGCAGCGGCACTCCGCACGAGAGAAGTGATTCTCGTCCGTGGCATCCGGTCAGGACGCGGACGTTAGTAACATCAGCCCCCCTTCTCCTACAGGTACACCGCGCCTGTGTGTGTATGCATGATGGTGTGCTCTCATGTGTGGACGCGGACGGACGGGCGCAGGGAGGGCGAGGAGACCCCCCCAACCCCTCATCCCTCTCCCTAGGGACTTAAGAGACCCCCATCCCTCTCTCTGTCTGTAGCATGTCTACTTTACAGCGGTTTTACACGTAATCACGGATCGATAAGCCGCTTCACTTGATGTTTCGCAGTCACTCTATATGGGGCCTTCAATTCAGCGTATGTCATGTCGCCTCTCCCGGCAGAGTGCGTTGAGGTGAAGATAGTTCGTGTAGCGATCATGGTAATTAAGGTGCTGTCTAACCGAGCGTCAGGGCGAGCTGTCACGGCGTGAATGCTGTTGGCGGATTTTTTGCTCTGCTGAAAACTAACGTCTCGCTTGTTATCGTGTTTCAGCCAATTAGTAATGCAGATTTCATAGTTCCGGTGGAGATAGATGGAACAGTTCATCAGGTGAGCACACTTTATTTTTTCTTCGTCTTTCTTTCCTTATTTGTTTCTTCCCTTTCTTTTCCGTAATCTTCGTTCCTTCATCGGGGTCCATTTCTTGGCATCTTTATTCTGTTCATCTTTTATTCTTGGCATCTTTCTCTTTCATCTGTCTTCTTCCCTTCTGGGCTTCGTCTTCTTTCTTCTTCTTCTTCTTCTTTTCTTCTTCTTGGCTTCTGTCTTCTTCTTCTCATTGTCGTTCTTTCGTTTCTGTCTCATGCAGCAAGGGCGGTACGTGAATTGCGTGGTTATTTCACGCGGCACCGTAAGCCTAGGTGTGTGCGGGCCTGTGTTCTTATCTCTTACGTTTACCACCGCGCCGACCCACCTCAATATAAAGCACGCGGCCACCCCGTTGTTTGCATTAAACGACGCGACTGTTCTCCGGGCACCTTGTGTGGGGGGCCGGATGCGTTCGGGTTGCCGCGATGGCTACCGGGTCCGTGGACAGCACGTTCCGGGTCGCCTTGTGTTTCTCCGTCGTTGCGCCCACGGTGTACGGGCGTGCCCCTTCGTGAAACGGCGCCCGGGCCCGCGACGGGACGTCCTCCCCGGCGATGAATTCCTCCGTGACAGCCGGCAACCCAAACCCAGGATGGGAGGACGACTGTATCGGAGTTGTGTTCTCTCACGGCATATCTAGCGAAGGTAGGAGGCGCCGACCGGGCGTGCGGCGAGCCAGTCGCTAGCATTGCATTAGATTTACTGGGTTTTCGTTCCTTCAGCGGCTAGTCTCAGCGCGAAGGTAAGGGCCGCCAGCCCGTGACCGCGTGCGCCGACCCGCCCCGCTCGCTCCAGTGTTAGACCTTGTGTGAGCTGGGTGTTATCTGTACGGGAATGTGAAAGTATTATTAAAGTTATTTTTAGCATCTGCTGCTGCTCGGCTCGCTGCTGCCTGGCTGCTACGCTTCTGGCCTGCTGCTCTGCTAGCATACTGGGCATTACTGCTACTGGCATACCTGTCGCGCTAGCGTACTCGCCGCTGCTGCTACTCCGGCCGGCGGGGATAACTAGTGCTATCCTGCCCGTGCCCCGCTACTGCTCCCACTGCTATGGGGCTTACTGTCGCGCTACTCCAACTGCTGCTGCTCACATTGCTTACCCACCGGCTGCACTCCGCGCCGCTCACTGCACTTGCAGTCCCGGCCTCCCACTCACTCCGCCGCTCCGGATGGGGCTGCTACCGCTCGCCTCTCATTCGGTTGCGTTGCTTCTCCCCGTGTCTCCCCGCTGCTGCTAAACTCCGCTACTGCTGGACTCGAGGGAGATGGCTTAATGCTACTGGTTCATGGACAGGCTACTGTCGCTGACTACTGCTGCTGCCGCTACTCGGCTAGCTGCGACGGGCTACTGGGCTAAGCTCGGCAGCGTCACCCGCGACTTGTCGCTACGGGCGCGCCCGGCAGCCGACAGGCTCCTGACATGGCCTGGACTCGCTACCTGCTAACTGCGTACTGCTTAGCTGCTACTGGGTCGCTACTTACTTGCTGCGCTGCTACTGCTAAAACTAGCTACTCCTACTGCTACCTTCGGCTACTACTGCCTGCTGCTGCTGCTGCTGGCTGACTGTCGCCATCCTACTGCTGGCTGCTGAACTCTACTGGCTACGTGCGCTAATCTGCGAGCTAACTGAACCGCACTAACTGTCGCTACTACTGCTTGCTGCTGACTGCTAACTGCTAACTGGCTACTCGGCTACCTGCTATCCTGTCGTACCTACTACTGCTGCTACTGCTCACTGGCTAACTCCGCTGCTAGCTACTGCTCCTAAAACGGTCTGCCACTACTCGCTGCATAAGATTAATACGGCAATAGTAGTAGTAACGTATGGCGTCAACATCACACCTCTCACAAATCCCCCTCGTGCCATCCAGTTAGCAGAACAGATTCGGCCCACATTCATTTAGAAGTGACATATTCTCTAGCTAGCAGCAGTCAGCTAGCTGTCGGGTAAGGCACTCGTGTACAAACAGTGCACCCGCACCTGCAGGCAGCAGTATCAGCTAAGTACCGGTTCCTGTCGTCTGATCTGGATAACAGTCCGAATCGCCAAAATTGGTTGTTCTTTAGTGTCTGGGGAGCGGGCGCGTCTGTGATTGAGTAGCGAGCGGAGCGACCGGCGACGCAGAGAGAAGCGCCACCGAAATAGCAGGCAGCGGGGGCGAGTTATAGTGTTATTGATTGATATAGAACCAGCACAATACAGTTACAAGTTAAGAGGTCTATGGGTAGTGTTGGTGGTAGAGGGTTTAAGGATTTGTTTGTTGGTCCCGCCAGTGAGTTAGGGTTAGGGGTTTTTAATTTAGGGTTACTGGTTAGTGTTGTGATTATGTTAGCGGGACGGGGTTAAGACGTTGAAGGGATAGGTTATAAGATTTAAGGTCGGTATGGTTAGGAATAGGGTTAGGTTAGAGGGTCAGGGTTAGCATGTGAGGATAGGGTTAGCGGTTGATGTTAGGTTAGGGGTTAGGAGTTAGAGACGTTTTTATTCCCGGTGTTATGGTTAGTGTTGTGCCATTATGGTTACGGGGAGGATTAGCGTTAGGGATATGGGTAGAATTAGGTTTCTGGTTAAGGAATAGGATTAGGTATAGGGATAGGGTCATGGGTAGCATTTAGGGATAGGGTACGCGGTTAGGGATAGGGTTAGGTTAAGGTTATGTTGTAGGAGATCCCGGCTTAGGGTTAGGTATATGGATTAGGCTTAGGATACCTTGGTTAGGTGTTAATAATTAGCTCATTCAGTGTAGCGACCTAGCGATTAAAAGTTAATGTTACTGGGTAGGAGGAGGCTCGAAAAGTCCTGAGGGAGACTGGAGGACTGACAAATTGTGAGTATATGGAGGCCTGTGAGATGATGGTGAGTGGGCTGGATGAAAGACAGCAAGATGGGCGGAATGGAAGTGATGACGATGGACCTGGAGATTCATGAGAATTTCCTTGCGACTCGATTAAGTGCGCTGCCAAGGTCGAGAGGCGATGCTGAGGATAGTGAGAAGATGTTGGGAATGGCTGGGCGGGATGAGGAAGTGGTCCGTCTTCTTGCGGACAATTAGTGGCCAAAGGCGTCGAGGATGATGCCGCCTGCAGAGATAGTGAGAAGAAAAGAGGTGGGATGCGTGGGAGGGCATGAAGGAGGCGTGCCGTTTCTTGCGGACAGATTCAGTGCCAAGGTCGAGGGATGTTGCGAGTGAGGAGGAAATTACTCTTCTATCATGTATTGCTAGGACAGTATTCAGACCTGTTGCACGCAGTGTGCTGCGTCGCGTGCACTCGCGTGCGTTGCGTGCCTGCGTGCATACGTGCTTGCTTGAAAGTCAATATTTCGTGGTTTACCTACAGTGCTTCGTTTTCGATGTCCATGATTTTCCTGAAACACTCTAGGTACCACAGCTGCATCGCTTGCCACGCCTCTCTATACGGCGACCGCGTTCGCTGCGGGGCACACTGAGCCACTGTCTTGCGTTGACGGCCGGAGTCCCAAGAAGCTCCACCCGTCGTAAATCTACTCGCATAATTTAATTTTTTTCGCCTACTTAGTTCTAACGGCGTTTAATTACTAATTAATTACACTAATTAATTACTACTCGGCTAATTAATTTTTTCCTCGCGGTGTACCACTGTTTAACAGGCGTCTCCTGTCGTTGACTGGTCCATGGAATGCCGTGCATCCGGGTGCTAACCGTCGCTGTGCCTGCATCGGTGTGTGGCAGTCCAATTACAGTGAATCGTAAAGCGGCCGGTCGTTCTGCAAACAGTTTGGCTAGAACACTAGCAGCATCGCTGGGTCCCGTCGCTATCAACTGCGCAGGGCGTTTGGCGATGCATATCTTGCGAATCGTAACAGCCGTTACAGAGAGCCAGGCCCGTACGCGAATTTTTTCGCCCCCCCCCAACCTTGAGTTCCAGACACGAGGCCATAAGATACCGTGTTATTGTTTAATATATGGTTCGTATATATATGGATTGGATTATAGTTAGTTGTTTAGGGTTCGGGTGACGGGTTAGGTTAGGGTTACCGGGATAGGGAATATCCATTTTAACAATTGTTGCTTCGAGGAAGTCGAGTGAATGGAGTGGCGCTGAATTGGCTGTGCGTCCGGAACTCAAGCTTGAAAAAAAATTTCGCGGGCACCCGTACATCACCTTACGATAATTAAATCCCTTTTCAAACCTCACTAATTAACGTCAACCAGCGGCTCCTTCACACCCGCAAACAATCAGCTGCACACCGGGGAGAGAGTTAGCGACTTAAGCGTTAGTGAGAATGAACCATGAGTTAGACGATTGGTACGCGGAGCCGCACCTCCAGGTGCGGCCGCAGCCGCGGTGAATAATAGATGCGGCGGATCGTGCCGGTTGTACGTGCCGCCGGCGATGGTCAAAATAATGAACTGTTCCTCTAGCCTAGAAGGTTTGTTTACTGACAATTACGCCGGCGCCACGCAACGCACGTATCTTAAGAACATTACTTAATACGATTCTCAGTTACGATCTCTCTCTCCCTCCTCTACTCGTGTGGATATATTAAATCATAGCACCGGCACTCTTGTGGCAGTGCGGGAGCCGCACTTCCTGTGCAGCAACCGCTGCACTTCCTATGGAGTGCAGGCACTACTTCTTGTGGAGCACGTAGTAACTTCCTGTGGCAGCACCGCATCACTTCCTGTGGCACCGCATCCGCAGCACTTCGCTGTGGCCACCAACACCGCATCACTTCCTTGTCCGCCAAACCCGCAGCACTTCCTGTGGCAGCACCAGCATCAACTTCCTGTGCAAGTGCCGCAGCACTTCCTGTGGAGCATACCCGCAGCATTGTTGGAGGCCGGGAGGGGGGGAACTGTCATCAACATCGTTGAATTTATTAATTATCGCTTTTCATAATTTAACGGGTGGATTAGCTCTCAGGCCTCTGGCCTGTGTGTGCGGCGCGGCGCGCGCGCTGAGATTCGCCTGCCTCACGCATTCCTCACTACTGATGTTGATGCATCGATATGTCTAGGCCCGTCACAGCCATATACGCAGTAACAGCCAGCAGCAACAACAGTAGCACGCAGCAGCAGCAGTAGTAAGCAAGTAGCAGTAGCGAGCACGCAGCAGAGCAAACGAAGCAGGCAGCAGTAACAGGCAGCAGTAGTAGTAAGTAATAAGCAGCAGCAAGCAAGCAAGTAAGTCGCAGTCAGCAAGCAGTAAGTCAGAGCAGCAGGCAGGCAAAAGCAGCAGCAGCAGCAGCAGTAAGCAGCAGTAGCAGGCAGTAAGTAGCAGCAGCAGGGCAGCAGCAGCAGCAGCACAGCAGTAGTAGGGCGCAGTAGCAGCAGCAAGCAGCAGGCATAGCAGGCAAGACAGCACAGCAGTACAGCAGGTAGCTAGTAGCATAGTTCAGTAGCAGATAAGTCAGTTTAGATAGTAGTAGTATTAATGTGTGATCATGCTGTGTTGCAGTATGCAGACCCGGTGGCTGACCTGCTGGACAAGTGGGGCGTGTTTAGAGGCCGCCTCTTCAGGGAGTCCTGTGTTTTCCATCGAGGAAACTACGTGAAGGTAAGCGTGCGTGAAAGTTACTTATAATGGTTGTTAACTACGTAAAGCTAAGCATGTGTGAAAGTTACTTATAGTGTTTGTAACTAACGTAAGCTAAGCATGTGTGAAAGGTTACTTATAGCTGTTTGTAACTACGCCCAAGCTAACTGTGTGAAAGTTACTTTTAATGTTTGTAACTACTACTGGAATCCGCGCTAGCGCGGGCTCTAGTGCTGGTGATGCATGTGGTATCGACTGTTTGAAAACCACAGAACCGCCAGAGAGATAAGAGAAGAGATTGAACCTTGACATTGACATTTAAACTTCATTATTACATGCTTTATTTCTACTTACATTATTTGGGCTTGACAAAAGTCTGTGCATGCAGCACCCTCGTTGACAGACGGCGAAATATCTACAGCAAGACGACGTTCAGCAGACCGTCGACATATTAGCAAGGGCCAAGATATAGCGGCCCCCTCGTATTTCAGGCAACATCTTTACCATTTTTCTTGTCTTTTTTAAGCCCTTTTTACCGTTTTCAACGCGAATAAAGTTTCAGAACCCCGTCCCGTGTAATTCATCGATCTCCTTTCTGGAATTTGGTGCTGAAATTTGGATCAAAACTGGACGGAGCCTTTCATTAACATATCAATACATACATACAACATATCGCCCAAATTATAGCAAGATACGGTAAGATCAAAGACTTAAGCAGTGTGAAAAGTCTACTTATAATGTTTCCCTGTCAACTACGCAAAGCCCTGCCCAAGCGTGCCGCGCTGAACCGATTGGAGTAAGCGTGGCGTGCGTGTGTTGTGCGTGTGGCGTAACTCGCGTGCCGTGCCGTGCGTGCGTGTGTGTGTGTATATGTTAGGTAAAGGTCAGTGTTCAAGGTTAAGTAGAGGAGGAGATGGAATACTAATAGATGTAAGCAGGAGCTAATTTGGCAGCAATTTTAGGGGGAGCACATTAGGAGCAAATTGTCATTATTAGCTCGTGATGTCAGTGCAGGTCACAGTAAGTAGTCTGGTTACTGTTAGATGAGAAGGGACAGTGCGTTGCTGTGTTTGTCACGCGTACGTGCTGAATGCTGATTAAGTTCTACCTCTCATCTTCCTCCGCTCCTAAGCTGTGTAACATTAAGCCGCTATAGCAAATAGCTGGAGGAAATGTTCGCTGTAAGGTGAGGGGGGATGGTTAGAGGCATGGAAACGAGCAGGGAGAGAGATAGAGGGAGAGACGGGAGCGATAGAGAGAGAAAACTGAGTTGGCCGGAACGAAAGAGAACAGAAGAGAGAGAGAGAGACCGAGTGTGATGCGTGCGGTGGGCGATGCAGTGGCGTGCGTGGCGTGCGTGCGCTGCGTGGTCACCTCTCCGAGCCGTTCTGGGTTGTATATTTCTGCGCGCGCAGGATTTGAGTACGGCTCGGGCGGCGGACCTGAACGAAACGCTGATCTCATTGTAGTACAACTCTTCCGGCAATCATACATCTTCCACCGCACTGACACCACGCTGTAAGCTACACTCATCGAGTTGTTGTTTGTTGTGTTGTTGCTTGTTGCTTGTTGTTTCTGTTGTTGTTGGACTAGATGGATGTTTTCTGTTGATTCACTGCGGTCCACAGCCACCAGGAGTTTGTTGCTTATTCGTTGAGAGCTGACTACCAGTTGTACTGTCCCTCGTTATTGTATCTGGTTTATCGTTGTTATGCTGCTATTGTTTATGTTGTTATTGTATTGTTTATGTTGTTATTGTATTGTTTATGTTGTTATTGTATTGTTTATGTTGTTATTGTTATTATTGTTGTTATTGTATTGTTTATGTTGTTATTGTTATTGTTGTTGTTATTGTATTGTTTATGTTGATATTGTTATTATTGTTTATGACAACAGTGTTATTGTTATTGTTATTATTGTTGTTGCAGGTTCCTGTAACAGAAGTTGGTTTGATGACATGGCGGATGCTGAGTTGTTATTGTTATTGTTATTGTTGTTGCAGGTTCCTGTACAGAGTTGGTTTGATGACATGGCGGATGCTGAGTTGTTATTGTTATTGTTATTGTTGTTGCAGGTTCCTGTACAGAGTTGGTTTGATGACATGGCGGATGCTGAGTTGTTATTGTTATTGTTATTGTTGTTGCAGGTTCCTGTACAGAGTTGGTTTGATGACATGGCGGATGCTTAGTTGTTATTGTTATTGTTATTATTGTTGTTGCAGGTTCCTGTACAGAGTTGGTTTGATGACATGGCGGATGCTTAGTTGTTATTGTTATTGTTATTGTTATTGTTATTGTTGTTATTGTTGTTGCAGGTTCCTGTACAGAGTTGGTTTGATGACATGGCGGATGCTTAGTTGTTATTGTTATTGTTGTTGTTGTTGTTGCAGGTTCCTGTACAGAGTTGGTTTGATGACATGGCGGATGCTGAGTTGTTAGACCTCGTGCCGTTCCTTGATGGACTGTCTAAGGTGGACAACGTTTACTCTGTGCTGCGCACGCACAACCACAACCTGTTCAATCTCCGTCATCAAGGATCCCCTCTAGGCAGCCACCACAGCTCCAACAGCTCTATCAACACATAGCCTCGGCTAAAACACAACCACCGCCCCCGATCGCCGCCGCGATAGAGGCACGCGGTCGCCACGGCGATGGAGGCACGCGGTCGCCACGGCGACGGAGGCACGCGTTCGCCACAGCGACAAAAGGAGGATTTCTTGTTGCCTCTGCTGCGGTCGCCGTGGCGATGGACGGTTGCCCTTGCTGTCTCTGCAGTGGTTGCCATGACGAGGGAAGGGATTCGTGTTCTTGCTGCGGTCGCTAGGGAAGCTGTCCTATGGCGATCGTCGTGACGACAAAGGCAAGGTCGAGGGCGGAAGGCCGTTTGACTTCGCGGACGTTACAGATGCTCACTTGTTTTGGCGATCGCCGGCGTGCGATCATGTGTCGGTTGTTCGCTGGAGAGCTGTTCTCTTGTCGAACGCGTCGCAGGATTGGAACGTATAGCGAAACTAACGCTCGCACGGATGGACTGATGAACAATGCTGCTGGGGTGGTTCGTTCCTTCCTGGTCCATTGTTGTTCACACACACATGTTCCATCTCATAGATCTGTAAGCTAGATGATCAAAATCATTGTTCGCACACAGAAATGTTCCACTTCCGAAGATCGGTGAGCTAGTTTAACATTAGTTGTTCACAGAGGAAGAAGAGAGAGAGTTGTTCACGTGGGGAGGTGTGAGTGTGGTTGGTCCCTCCTTCCTCCTCTTCCCTGTAGCCTCCGTTTTCTCCTTTTACTTCTCTCCCAGACCTCCTTCCTCCCGCTTCTCCTCTCCCACCTTCTCCGTCTCCCTCTTCGCTTCTACCTCCTCCCTTCTCTCTTCCATCTCTCCCTTTTCCCCTTCTTTTTTTAACCTCCTCCCTCTCCTTCCCCTCTTTTTTCCCTTCTTTCCTCCGCCTCCTCCCCTCCCCCTCCTCTCTTCCATCTCCTCCCCTTCTCTTCCCTCTCCCCCTCTCCTCTCCTCCCCTTCTCCTCTCCTCTCTTCCCCCTCTCCTCTCCTCCCCCTCCCCTCTCCTTCTTGCTACTACTACTGCTGCTACTGCTACTGCTACTGCTACTGCTGCTGCTACTGCTACTGTCGCCACTACTGCTGCATAGATTAATAGCGCAATGGTAGTAGTAACGTATGGCGTCAACATCACACCTCTACACCCCCCTGTGCAATCCAGTTGCAAAAGATTTCGCCACATTCATTTAGAGTGACATATTCTCTAGTAGCACAGTCAGCTAGCTGTCAGGTAAGCACTCGTGTAAACAGTGCACCCCGCCTGCAGCAGCAGTACCAGCAGTAGCCGGTTCCGTCGGCTGATCTGGAACGTCGCCAATTGGTTGTTCTTTAGTTGTCTGGGGCGGGCGCGTCTGTGATTGTAGCGACCGGGCGAGCGGCGACGAGAGAGAAGCGCCACCTAGCGGGCAGCGGGGGCGAGTTTAGTGTTTGCCGATGTAGAAACACAATACAGTTACAATTAAGGTTATGGGTAGTGTTGGTGGTAGAGGTTAGGATTTTTGTTGGTCGCCGTGAGTTAGGGTTAGGGTTTTATTTAGGGTTATGGTTAGTGTTGGGATTATGGTTACGGGGAGGGTTAGCGTTAGGGATAGGGTTAGATTAGGTTATGGTTAGGAATAGGGTTAGGTTAGGGTTAGCGTTAGGGTTAGGGTTAGGTTAGGTTATGGTTAGGGATAGGTTTAGGGTTAGGTATAAGATTAAGGTTAGGGTTAGGGTTATAATTAGTATTAGTGTACGACTAGGATAATGTTACTGGTAGAGGCTGAAAAGCCTGAGGGAGATGGAGGCTGACAAATTGTGAGTATATGGAGGCTGTGGATGATGGGTGAGGGGGCGTGGCTGGATGAAGAGGCAAGGAGGGCGGATGAGTGAGACGATGGATGGAGATTAATGAGATTTCTTGCGGATGATTACTGCAGCTGCCAAGGTCGAGGGATGCTGAGGATAGTGAGAGATGTGGGATGCTGGGAGGGATGAGGAGCGTCCGTTTCTTGCGGACAATTAGTGGCCAAGGTCGAGGGATGTTGCGAGTGAGGGAGGAAATTACTTTTATCTGTATTGCTAGACAGATCAGTGTTGCACGCGTGTGTGCGTGCGTCCGTGCGTGCCTGCGTGCCTGCGTGCCTGCGTGCGTGCGTGCGTGCCTGCGTGCGTGCGTGCCTGCGTGCGTGCATGCGTGCATACGTGCTTGCTTGAAGTCAATTTCGTGTTTCCTACAGTGCGTTCGTTTTTCGATGTACCATGATTTCTGAAACACTCTGGTACCACTAGTGCATCGCTGTCAACGCTCTCTACGCGAAGCGTTCGCTGCCACACCTAGCCAGCTGTCTTGCGTGACGACCCGGGTCCCAGACTCCACCGTCGTAAATCTACTCGCTAATTATTTTTTTCCTAATTAGTTTAACGCGTTTAATTACTAATTAATTACTACTAATTAATTAACTACTCGCTAATTAATTTTTTCTCCGTTAACTGTTTAACGCGTCTCTCTTGTCGTTGACGTCCATGAGTGCGTGAATGGGTGGCTAACCGTCGCTTGCCTGCATTCGTGTGTGCAGCCAATTTCGTATCGTACGGTCGTTCTGCAGCAGTTTGGCTAGACTAGCACATCGCTGCCGTCGCTATCACTGCGCAGGGCGTTTGCGATGCATAGTCTTGCGAATCGTACAGCGTTACAGAGAGCCAGGCCCGTACGCGGAATTTTTCCCCCCACTTGAGTTCCAGACACACCATAGATAGTGTTTTGTAATATATGGTTCGTATATATATGGTTGGATTATAGTTAGTGTTAGGGTTAGGGTTAGGGTTAGGGATAGGGGGTATCCATTTTACATTGTTGCTTCGAGGAAGTCGAGTGAATGGAGTGCACTGATTGGCTGTGGTCCGGAACTCAAGTGGGGAAAAAAATTTAGCGGCCCGTACATCGCCTCGATAATTAAATCCTTTCAAACCTCACTAATTAACGTCACCGCTCCTTCACACCCGCAAACAATCAGCTGCACACGCGGGGAGAGAGTTAGCGACGCGTTAGTGAGAATGAACGCATGAGTTAGACGATGGTACG